TCCCTCAAATGATCTGTGATGAAGCAGCTCAGGATTCCCAGATGGCCAATAGTTAAACACAACAGCCTCAATTGTCATTGGTCCGCTGCATTCATTTCCATTAAACTTGAAGAACCACCGATTGCATTTACTTGAAGTGCCATAGACTCTCGTATTTCCTTGGAATGAGACTTTAATGGCTGTATCAGACTGCAGCTTGTTGAATGGGCAATCCTACAAAAAATGCCAAGAAGAAAGTCTTAATAAAAAAATATAAGAGTGTTATGGGAAGTAATTTGATGATAACCTTGTACTTTTCCTGCCTGCAAAAATGCACAGAATTGTTAATTGTTATTTTTAGTTCGGCTGCATTTCTCAAAAGTCTCTTTGAAAGCCTGTAAAGCTTAATTTAATTTTCATTGCGTTTTCTAGATATTTCTGTACCTTAATCTTTCCACTATCTCTATTATCTTCATTTTTCCACACACACTGTTTCCAGTTGGTCTGTGACACTGCACTATTCACGATTTCTCCTTTCTCTCCTTTAGATCCCTGCTCTCCTTTCACACCCTTGATTCCTGGCGGTCCACTGCTACCACGTGACCCTTCATGACCTTTATCCCCTTTTCTTCCCATCATTCCAGGTGCACCATTTTTACCCAGTGACCCTGGATTTCCTTTAAGTCCTCTTGTTCCCATCATACCTCTCGGTCCCTTGACACCAGGCTCCCCCTTGGCTCCATCTTTTCCTTGTTGTCCTTGTGGCCCTGGGGCGCCAGGAATTCCCGGCATTCCGGGTATGCCATTCGATCCTGGAATCCCAGAAAATCCGCGAGCAAAAATGGATTTCTGAGGAAGAAAAAAGAACACATTGTAATTTGATGGACGTACTTTATGTTCATTTATATTTACTTGTTCGCCGAAGTAGCCCAGCAGTTTCTTCAGAAATTAATCGTGATGAGAATTTAGCTTCATTCTAGGAGAAACAGCTCGGAACATCGAATGATCTCGTAACGTTGTATACGTAGAGATATCCCTAAAAGAAATTTTATTCAGCAATGTTCTAATTTGTCTTTGAAAACTTATGATTGATGGGGGATTTTTTTTTTGTGCTTAGCTTGGTAGATATGAGTGATAAACTGAGGCATGACAAATGAACGCGTCATGAAGTACAGCGATTTTGAAGTAAATAATCATGGATAAAGCATGCTTAAGAGTACCTCACATGGGTCTTTGTCAGCGACAGTATGTGAATTCTGTTGTGGAGGACTGGTGGTTGTTCCCATGGAACTTACTCCTGTTTTGAATGAGACAAATA